AGGGAAACCCCAGGGCGGTGTTTGGTGGATTTGGGGAGTCCTAGGGTGGGGTTTGGGCTCGGAATGAGGTTGGAGCACCCCAATATGGGTGGGGGGCACCCTAAGGGAGGGCCGAACCATTTCTTTTGGGTGAGGGGTAACTTAAAGTTGGGCAGAACCATTTGTTTTATCGGGGGGGTTAGGGATCACCCTAAAGTTGGGTTGAACCATTTGTTTTGTGGGGGGGCTTAGGCGTCACAGCCTTGGGATCACCCTGGGAATTTTATCTGGGGAAAGAAAGTTTGGAGCTGCCCAAATCCCGGGAATTTCCCCTCAGGCCCTGGAGTTTGGGGTCGGTTGGACAGACACCAATCCCTGGGTTTCCCTGGGCTGTCCTTGCCCGTTCCCTGAGGGATTTTTGGGAATTGTGGCTCCCCAGGCAGATTTCCTGAAGGGGCTCCCGGTGTACAACAAGAGCAACTTCAGCAGGTTCCATGCGGATTCCGTCTGCAAGGCTTCCGTGAGTGCTCCGGGGCCCCATTCCTTAATCCTGGAATTCCCTAATCCTGCAGTTCCCCAATCCCGGAATTCCCCAGTCACGCAATTCCCAAATCCTGGAATTCCCCAACGCAGTATTCCCAGATCCTGGAATTCCTGAATCCCGGCATTCCCAGATCCCAGAGTTCTCCAATCCCAGAATTCCCCTGTCCCAGAGTTCCCCAGTCCTGGTATTTCCCATCCTTGAATTCCCAAATCCTGGAATTCCCCATCCCAGCGTTCCCCAATCCCGGAATTCCCAAATCCCCCATTTCCATCCCGTCCCTGAGTCTCTTTCTCGTTCCCGTTCCAGAACCGCCGGCCCTCGGTGTATTTGCCCACCAGAGAATTCCCCTCGGAACAGAGTGAGTCCTGCTGGGAAAATCCCGATTTTTATCAGCTCCACCAGGGGCATCCCACAGTCCCAGCTCCCCCTCTTTATTCCCAATATTCCCTCTCTTTATTCCCAGCTTCCCCCTCTTAATTCCCAATATTCCCTCTTTTAATTCCCAGTATTCCCCCTTTAAATTCCCAGTTTTCCCTTTATTTATTCCCAATATTCCCCCTTTTAATTCCCAATTCCTCCTTTAATTACTCCTATTTTCCTCTTTATTTATTCCCATCCTTCCCCTTCTTTATCCCCAGTTTTCCCTCCAACAATTCCCAATTTTTCCTCCCTCCTTATGCATTGAAATCCTCCTAAAACCTGAAATTTTTCCCCCTGTTTTTCTTTGGAATTATTTGCAGTTATCGTGACAGAGAAGACAAACATCCTCCTGCGCTACCTCCACCAGCAGTGGGACAAAAAGGTGACATTTGGGATCCAAATTTCCCAATTTTTCTGGGAATTTGGGATGGATTTATTCCAGGAGTCATTCCTGTATGAATGGTGAATGTGGGAATTCCAGGCAGGAAATCCTGGGGTGGTTCTGGCCCTGGAAATGAGGGGAAATTGGGATTGAGGGAGGTTGTGGTTGGGAATTTGGGAATGCTGGGATTTGGGAACTCTGGGATTGGGAATGGTTGGGTTTGGAAATTACGGGATGTGGGAATGTTGAGAATGGGAATACTCGGGAGTGGGAATGTTGGGATTTGGGAATATGGGGATTTGGGAATCCCAGCATGTGGGAACACTGGGGATCCCCATGCTGGGAGTCTGCCCTGGAATTCCCTGGGAATTGGCCTTGGAATTCCCTGGAACCCCCTAAAATTCCCTGAAAACCCCTAAAATCCTCTGGAATCCCCCTGGAAGCCCTAAAATTCCCCAGACCCCCCCTGAATTCCCCGATCCCCCCGGCACTGCCCGCTGACGCCCGGCGCTGTTGCAGAATGCGGCCAAGAAGCGCGAGCAGGAGCAGGGCGAGCTCGAGGGCGAGAACTCGGCCCCGCCGCGCAAAATCGCCCGGACCGGCAGCCAGGACATGACCGAGGACACTTAAAACACCCCGGAGCCGGGCGTTCCCAAGGCTCTTCCCGCTTCTTCTCACCTCCCGCACCCCTCCCCTGACCCGCTGGGAATTCCCAGGATCCGCCCTATTTATTTGGGATTTGCCTCGTGCCTGGTTTTTGGTTTGTATTTATGGGGTTTTTATGGAGAGGGAGAATTGTTCGTCCTTAGGGGCCCTAATTCCCAAAATTCCTGGTTTTTCTGGGGTATCCCAGAATTCCTAATTCCCCAAAATTCCCCCTTTTCCTGAGATTCCTGGGATTCACTCCTGAGATCTCCCAGGTGAGCTCATTTCCAAAAATCCCCTTTTCCTGGGATTTATTCCCTTCCCAAAATTCCCTTTTTCCTGGGATTCCTCAGATCTGCTCCTTGAGAAATTCCAGGACAACTCCCCCCCTTTTTTTTCCCCCCCCAAAATTCCACTTCTTTTGGGATTCTTGGGATCTACTCCCTGTGACACCCCAGAATTCCTCATTTCCAAAACCCCACTTTTTCTGGGATCTCCTCCCTTCCCAAAAATCCCCTTTTCCCAGGATTCCCCACATCTCTTCCCTGTAAAATTCCAAGATTTTTTTTTCCCTTCACGTCCCCCTGGAGAAATTCCCAGGAATCCTTTGGATATTCCCAACCCAACCACAACTGTGAGGCCTTTCCCATTTTTCCAGAAAATTCCCAACCCCTTCCCAGGCTCCGGTCATGGCTGGAGCCGATCCCTGGGAATTTGGACCCCGGGATTTTTTTGGGGCTGGATCCACGGAATTTTTTTCCCCACCCTCTGGAAAAGCTGGGAGCGTCGATCCTTAAATCCCGATTTTCTCCTGGGAATTGCTGGATCCTGTCTGAGGGATCACTCGGAATTCCCAGGACTGGGAGCGGCCCCAGATCTGGGAGAATCCTGGCTGGAATTCCAGGAATCCAGGATGGAATCTGGGATCTGGGCTGGAATTTGCGATCTGGGTTGGAAGAATCCAGGCTGGAATTCTGGGAATCCAGGCTGGAATTCCAGAATCCAGGTGGGAAATCCAGGAATCCAGGATGTAATTTGGGATCTGGGCTGGAATTCAGGAATCCAAGGTGGAATTCAGGATCTGGGCTGGAATTCAGGAATCCAAGGTGGAATTCAGGATCTGGGCTGGAAGAATCCAGGATGGAATTCAGGAATCCAGGATGGAAGAATCCAGGCTGGAATTCCGGGAATGCAGAGCCCATCCCATGCTCCCCAAATCCTCGGGATTGAGACAATTCCCAGCCGCCTTTCCAGGACCATCCAGAGGCTCAGGATCCATGGAGAACTTTGGGAAAGGACCGGATGATCCCAAAATTCCAGCTGCTTTTCCATGAGGAGCTGATTCCCGCAGGAATCCCGGAATTCGGGGCCTTTCTCCCTCCCCTTGCTGGGAAGCCCACAGGGATTTTTCCAGGAGATTTCCAGGATCAATTCCCAGCTCTGACTCTGGGAGGGTTCCTGCCGCCCCTTTTCCCGGAAAATCCCGGATCCACCCTCGGAATTCCGGGCTGGGAAGGGCCAAAACTCCTCCAGAAGCTCGGGAGGAGCAGGACACAGCTCCGGTCGGAATTCCCGGAATTTGGGACTGGAATTCAATCCAGAACTTTGGCTCTGCCTCCGTTTTTCCCAATTTTTTTTTGTTTTGTTTTGTTTTGGTTGGTTGGTTTTTTTATGGAAGCAACTTTGGAATTCCTGGAATGCAGTGTTGGGGGGGTGGGGGGAGGGGAAGGACAAGCGGAATTCCCGGGATTTTGGTTTGGTTTGGGATTTCCAGCTGGAGAACTCCGGGAGGAGCCGGATTTGAGGAATCTCCGGAAGGAATTCCAGGGGTTCCAGGAGAGGAGGGCGGATCCCGGGGTTCCCGAGGCTCGGGAATGTTGTTCCATTAAAGAGTTGGCACTTCCTGCTGGAATTCCCACTTTTCTTCCCCCTGGGAAAGGGAGATGGGAGCCTGGGGCAGTGGGGATTTATCCCAGGAAAAATGGGTGGGAAATTCTGGGGGGAAAGGTCGGGATTGGCCGGAGCTGGGCGGGTTTGGGATCTCCGGAGGGATTTGGGATCCCCCTTCCCCCTCTTCTCCAGCTCATTCCCAGCTTTGCCTGAAATTCCTGGAGCTCTGTCTCCCCCTTCCCTTGATCCCATTCAGGAAATCTTCTGGAAAATTCCTCTCCTGGCACTTCCTGGTGCCTTCCCACCTGGAATTCCCAAACTCCACCATTTTTCTGGCATTTTTTGCCCAGTTCCCACCTCTTCCTCCACATCCCGGCATTTTCTGTGTCCTACAGCTCCCAAATCCCAGGATTCCCTCCCCGGACACCTCCAGGGCTTGTAATTCCTGGAATTCTCAGAGCCAAATCCTGAATTTTTTGGGATTTTTCCACCCAGTTTTGTCCATTCCCAAACCCTAGGAAGTTCTGTCATTCCCAGCTCCGGGATTTTCCCTTCAAATCCTTCAATTTCCACCCAAAATCTGGGATTACAGAGCTGGAAAAACCTGGATTTTCCCAAAATTCCTGCTAAAATCCCAGATATCCACCGGAATTCTTTTTCCAGTAATTTCCAACAATTCCACATTTTTTATCAACAAGAAATTGATGGGATTTCAAGGTTTTAATTGGATTTTTCCATCCTTTCCTTTCCTGGCTCCTGGGAATATTTGGATGTAATTTTCCAGAGGTTGGGAATGCCGCTCCGGATCCTGGAGCCTAATTCAAATTTTCAAATATGCAAATGAGATGCAAATGAGCTGTCGAAATAAATTTCTTTTTTATTGCGGATTTTACAAAAATAAATTAAAAATAAATAAATTAAACCCCCCCTCCCCCCTCCCTTTCCTTCCTTTCCTGGAATTCCCATGGAATTCACACTCCAAGGAAAAAAAATCAAAGGAAAAACCATTCCCAAATTTTTCCCTCCTCCGAAATTCCAGAGGTTCTTTTTGTTGGTTTTTTGGGAAAGGGATGAAAATTTCCCACATTTGGGGCTTTTCCCTCTGGGAATTCTCCACTCCAGAAGGAAATGGGATCAAAGCCATTCCCGGGGATTTTTGGGAAAATCCCGTGGGATGAGGGAGTGAGGAGGAGCCGGAGCCTCCTGGAATTCCCAACGTTCCCAGGGCTCCCTTTTCCTGGGATTTGCCCCGGGATCTCTCCAGGACAATCCCGGCCAGGGCAGGTGGGGGGATTGGGATCCTCCTGCATCCACGTTCCCAAATCTCCTTCCCAAATTCCCAAATCTCCTTCCCTGTTCCCAGATCCCAAAGTCCCCAACCCCAAATCTCCATCTCCAATCCAAAATTCCATCTCCAATTCCCAAATCTCCACCCCCATTCCCAAATTCTGTCCCTAATCCCAGTTTCCATCCCCAGTTCCCAAATTTTCCTTCCCAATCCCCATCCCTGATCCCACCGGGATTTTTCCCACCCCGGAGTGGGAACACGGAGCTTTTCCCTTTGGGAATCCCGGGTTTTCCTGCCCTTATTGCTCTGGAAAATGGCTTCCATTTGGGATCCCAAAAAAAAAAACCAAACCCCAAAATTCCATGGATTCTTCGAAAGAGGAGGAGAGAAAAAAACCCGAAAAAAATTCCAACCTGATTTTTGGGAAGAGGGAACAGGAGGGGGCTTGGGACCACTTCCCCCCCTCCCCCCCTTTTCCCAGCTTTTCCCTCTTTTCCCAGATTTTTCCCTTTGGGAATGGATGTCTTCAAGTGCCACCAACCCCGCGAAGCGAAGCAGGGAAAGGAGGGAGCGCATTCCCAGCATGGATCCCGCTGGAATCCAGGGAATCCCGGGAATCTGGGAAATCCAGGAATTCCTTCCCGCGGCAGCAGCGAAGCGGCTCCCACCCCCTCCCGCATTGTCCCTCCCCGTGTCCCCTCCTTGTCCCGCCCTTTATTGCGACAGAATTCCAGGGAATTCGGAGCTGGAGCCGGGAATGTCCCGCTGGGGTTTGGGATTTGGGAGAAGCGGCACCGGCGGCGGGATCGGGGTTGGGATTTAGTGCAAGAAACGCTGCCCATGCACGGCATTCCCGGGAAATGCGCCCCATTCCCGGCTGGAGAACTCCCGGGAAGGATCTCCCGGATTTGGGATTGGGATCCGCGATTGGGATCCGGGATCCAGGCGGGGGGAGCGGGCGGAGCAGGGTTGAGGCACGGCTGAATCGGGCTCGTCCCGGGGATCCCGGGAATTCCAGGAGCGGGATGTGGCTCCCGGGGATCCAAAGGCTGGAGCGCGGCGTCTCTGGAGGAAACGGAGTGTGGGAGAGTTTGGGATGCTCCAAAAACCGGGATCACTGCCCCCGGTTCCCATGGAAAACCGGGATGCTCCAAAAACCGGGATCACTGCCCCCGGTTCCCATGGAAGCCGGGGTAACTGTCCCCGGTGAGCCCAGGAAGTTTCAGGATGCTCCGGCCGCACCGGGATGTTCCGGCCGCACCGGGATAACTCGCGCCGTGCCCC